GAGACTCTCGGCCGACAAAATCAAACACGACTTCCAAGTGATGACAGAATTGAGTACAATATTAGAGCTCTCGAGAGAAAACCGAATTTCTTCCATCGGTTTCGTCGGAGACTTTACTTCTGGAGACGACATCCCATTTGTTATGAATGAAGTAACCGCCACAACCACTTCCACATCCACTTTCACCTCAAGTTCCAGCGCTACAACTATTCAATCATTGGGTTCTATAATGAATGATGAAACCAATGATAACCTAATGACCAGAACTCGTGAGGAGGAAGGGATAAAAGGAAAGAAAACTTCAAAATCTAAGCCAATAAACGCTAAAAAGAAGACACAGAAGAAGAATGAAAATGGGATCCAAAAGAAATATATTTCTTTGTATGACTTGAATGACGGCGAAAATAAAGGAGATGTCATTCCTTTGATCGTCAGAAAATCCAAACGAATTGAATCCAAGAAGTTATTGGTCTAACATTTGATCACTTTTATGTAGAAAGTGGTCTATATTCTCAAAGTTTGAAAATTTTAAATAAAATATTCATTTACTCTATTATTCTGAGTATGCGATATATTCTAGAAATGTTATCAGATTTTATCATTACAACACTTTCAATTATCAGATACTTATATATTTCATTAGATTTTTATAACAAATAAAATTATTATACCAATTTTTTAAATATTTTATTTTGACTAATTTTTATGTATTCATCAAAACCTGTAAATTCTATGCAAATGCTTTTTTGTGGAAATTAGATTAGGTTACTAGTTTTGCTAGATCAAATACTTTTTGAGTAATCATAATGCATTTTAAACTTATTTTAGGTATATAAATTTATTTATTTATTTAGTATCTTAGTTTTATATATTATATAATTGTTTATTAGAGTAATAACTGTATTATAATTTTAATTCAAAAGTCAAATTGTCTAACTTATAAGATAACTTACAAGTATAACTTAAAATGTAATTTAAATACTAAATTGTATAAATGAGTTGTACTTCACTACTGTATACTACATATAAAATGAGAGTCAGAGATAGGGGGAGACCCAAGAATTGCGTAAAAATAGTGTCTATAAAATAAAAAGTTTTGTTGAAGGCTTCTTCAGTTGTCACATAAGTTTTGCTTTTGAAACATACAAAGTAAGTCAAGTCTTGAAACTCATTGAGTATTACTTTTGTTTTTGATAAGATTTTTTTAAGTATTAAAGAATTTTAATATTAATTTAAGAAACGTTTATACAATAAGAATAAATATAATGAAGACTCAGATCATTGAATGTGTGCCAAATTTTTCAGAAGGAAGAGACCCTGAGGTTTGTTATGTGAAATATTTAATTCACCTTTTAATTATTATTGTTTTCAATTATTCTTAAAGTAAATTCAATTTTGAACATTTTATTTTCTCGTTAACATAATTTAATAAAGAATTTCAGTATTTTCATCTATATTATTTATTATGTATATTGTATATTTATTTATATTCGAAATTTAAAAATCACTTTTATATGCATATTTTATAATTACAATAATAACAATTATTCAAAACTATATTAGGGTAATAAGTTAATAAGTAGCATATAATTATGATTTGATTTTAATTATATTTATATAATAATAATAATATTTTTGGAAATTTTTATAATTTAATCTAAAGAAACGCTTTTTGAATTTGTAATATTTATTGATTTGTTTTAATTTATCAAAAGATCTAAAATTCAAGGTTTCAATTGCAAACCTTGACATTAGGTTGAATTTAGAGAAAAATGTAGTTTTCCAGCAATTTTTTGAGTAATAAAATGTCATATTTATAAATCACATTAAATAAGACTTTTAAATAAATTCATTAAATAATATTGTACTGTATATTTGTTATCTAACTTTAAATCAAAAGTCAACTTTTAACTTAATTTGTTGTCAATTGGAAACAGATAATCAATGCCATTGCGAATGCCATCCGTTCTACAGAAGGTGTATCACTGTTGGACATTGACCCTGGTCAGTCCACTAATCGTACTGTGTATACATTTGTGGGCTCTCCCGATGCTGTAGTTGAAGGGGCTTTAAATGGGGCCAGAATTGCATACAAACTCATTGATATGAGTAAACAGAAGGGAGAACATCCACGACTGGGAGCTCTCGATGTCTGTCCGTTCATTCCGGTACAGGGGGTAGACATGGATGACTGCGTCCAATGTTCCCACAAATTTGCTCAAAAGCTATCTCTCGAACTCAAAGTTCCGGTATTTCTGTACGGATTTGCCGCTAAACAAGAGTACAGACAAACTGTTCCCCAAATCAGGGCCGGAGAGTATGAAGGACTGTCCCAAAAGCTAACTTCTCCCGAATGGAAGCCAGACTACGGGCCAAATGAGTTCATAGCCCGATGGGGGGCAACGATGTCAGGCGCTCGCAAGTTCTTGATTGCATATAATGTGAACCTAATCGCCACTAAAGAGCAGTCGCACAGAATAGCTCTGAATATCAGAGAAAAGGGACCCAATTCTGGACAACACTCGCAACGACTAAAAGCCACACAAGCGATGGGCTGGTGGCTCGACGAGGCCAACATAGCACAGGTAACCGTCAATATACTGGATCACGAAATCACACCAATTCATGCCGTTTACGAAGAAGTTGTTACAAATGCTAAACAACTTAAACTTCCGGTCACGGGATCCCAAATTGTAGGTTTAGTGCCCTTAAAGGCTATACTTGAAGCGGCCGAGTATTACATCAAAAAAGATGATTTGTTTGTTCTCGAAGAGGATCAAAAGGTTCACTTAGCCATCACTAGACTGGGTCTCAACTCTTTGGGTCCATTTGTCCCCAATCAGCGAATAATAGAGTATATGTTAAGCGATGATAAAAAGGGAGCACTCGTTAAGAAATCAGTGAAAGAGTTTGTAGAATCAGTCGGCGCTAGAACTACAGCACCGGGCGGTGGGTCTGTGGCCGCAAATGTGGGCGCATTAGGAGCCGCTTTGGCCGCAATGGTCGGCAAAATGTCTTACGGGAAGAAAGTGTTTGAACACAACGATCGGGTTATGCGACGACTTATACCACCACTTCATTCGTCAATCACTGAAATACTGGCTCTCATTGACTCCGACACCAATGCTTACAACGACTACGTTATGGCTCTTAAGCTTCCGCACACTACACCCGAAGAAGTGGATGCGTATGTCATGTCATCAATGATTTGTACAAAAAGTCATATAATTTAATGATTGGTTAACAGAAGGAACGAAGCGATTGAGAGGGGAGTGAAGGGAGCGATTGCTGTGCCTTTAAATTTGGCCAGAATTGTGTCCCAACTCTGGGATAATGTCAAAGAGTTGGCGCATGTTATTCATTATCCAACAAAAAGCGATTTACAGGTTTTATTAATTATATAAAATGAGTTCAAATGAATATTTAAATAATTGATTCAATAGGTTGGCGCTAATTGTCTCAAAGTAGGCGTATTAGGAGCTTATTATAATGTCATCACAAATGTCTCGGATATTAAAGATGAGAATTATAAGAGACGGGTAACTATTTTCTATTCTAACTTTAAAGGAAAATTAATTTGATTTCACTTTTAAAACTGTGTTTTAGATAATGACTGAAATTGAAAGCTATAAGTCTTTGGCTGAGAAATCATGCGAAGAGGTCCTTAAGATTTTAGATGAAAGAGATCCACATAAATAAGCAGAAGACTACACATTTATAATTAATATCTCCTAAAACACAATGAAATACAATAAGTCTAAGTTGATATACCTTTTAACATAATTTTGTGTATACCTGTAAGTGTAACGGCAAAGGAATAAACTGAAACACTGGTTGGGGTACGACAATACCTCAATGGGGGTGGGGTGGGTGATAGTTTTTATTTTGTATCAAATTGAATGAAAATATAAAAATAAAATTTTTAGACAATCAAGTCTAACAAATTTCTATATTTAATGAATATTTTATATTGAATTGTGGTAAAAGGATCTTGAACTTTTGATCTTGAAATTGAATTCATTTACTTATAGATACTGTATTTATTTTTAAAATCAAATGGCATTCAATTGAAACAAAGAATCATTTGTGGAAATACTGTAACATTTGAGTGAAAGTGTGTTTCATTTGCACTCAATGTCTATATTCTGTTAAATTTATATTCACTGGTCATTCACTTTCTAATTAACTATTAATGCATTCGTTGCAAAATCATTGTAAATTTCAATACAAATTCATTTACAAGTACCAAAATATTCCAGTTAATCTCGACTTTGTTAGATGTTTTATAGCGCCGGTATAAAGTTTATACTACTGTACAGTATAAGACTTATACCTAAAACTTCTATCATAGATAGTTTGATACAAATGTGACAATTTCTTAAATGATTTTTTATTTTATTTTGAAAAAATAATTATAAAAATATCAAAATTGGTTAAAGAACTAGTGATAAAACAGATGTTTGGTTGAAATAAGTGCCAAAACTAAAGCAATTGCCTCCACCGCCCAATAGCCATAACAATGGTTTTTCGCCCGTTAATAGCAATTCACACGAAAAGTTTGTCAACATTTGAGGGCATTCTGTCATTACGTCCAAAGAATTTATTATTTGATTGCATCTCAAGTCTAATAAGTCTATTGCATTATTTGGACCCGTTTTGCTCATTCCGCCAATTATTAGCACTTTATTATCATTCAATGCTTTCATATGATGTGAATACAAGTGCTTCAAAGTCTCCACTTGAATGGTATTAACCGAAGACATTCTCTCATCAATTAAATGTAAATAATTTGATGAAAAAACATTTGAATCACAACTAAGGCCACCGTTTATTACAAAAACATTTGAGTTGTTTAAAGAAAAGCCACTCAAAGAATATATGTCTGAAAATAAATTACTTTTCATATGTTTTTGCCATTTCATGGTATTTGTGTCCAAAATATAATAAGAATTCTTTTCGACCCAATTCTCACAATCAGTTTTGCCTCCGATTTGAATGATTTTATTTTCATTCATTGGATTTATAATCAAATGTCGAAATACTTTGGGAACACAATGATCCGAGTTTTGCAGTGAATGTGTTTCATATGTCTGTGAATTAGGCAATAATTTTAAAATTTTGTTATCCATTACTAAAACCGGTGAATGCCTTCCGCCAGATATGAAAAACATATCGTCTCGGAGTTCAGCAATCTTTGAGTGAAGTCTTTGAATTTCATTCAACTTATCACATGAACTATAATTTACTATTTCATCAGTTTTCGTGTCAATCGTCATGAAATTAGACAAACGTTTGTGAGAATTGCAATCAGAGTCACCACCAAATCCCCCGAAAATCGCTATTTTATTGTCTTTTGTGAGACAAGACGAGTGACCAAATCGTGACACAAGATTGCCATCAATTGGTTTAGAAATGCATTCAATTTGTTCTCTTATATCAGTGTCTGGCTGTGTCCACACATGTGTCTCGTTATCAGAGACTGTCTGAGCGAAGGTTAGGGCATAACGACTGCAAACGCTATCAAACTCTTCCATCTCATCAAACATTTCCAAACAATTGATTCTTTGCTTCTCTTTGGCGTCGATATAATCATCAAAAAATGTCTTCATATCTAAGACTTCTATTGATTCAAAATTCAAACTATTTTTAAATCGATTAATAATTTGTGGTTTTGTGAGGAAAGTCTTGAGCGGAGAACCAATGGTTTGGAAGTGACTTAACATAACATTAGAAAAGCCATCGTTTGAGAGGTGAGACTTGATTTGCTCGAAACCCATGTATGTCAGGGAACGGCATTTGTGTCCATACAAGTCCATGAAGACACGGATTTGTGAGAATTGCAATCAGAGTCACCACCAAATCCCCCGAAAATCGCTATTTTATTGTCTTTTGTGAGACAAGACGAGTGACCAAATCGTGACACAAGATTGCCATCAATTGGTTTAGAAATGCATTTAATTTGTTCTCTTATATCAGTGTCTGGTTGTGTCCACACATGTGTCTCGTTATCAGAGACTGTCTGAGCGAAGGTTAGGGCATAACGACTGCAAACGCTATCAAACTCCTCCATCTCATCAAACATTTCCAAACAATTGATTCTTTGCTTCTCTTCGGCGTCGATATAATCATCAAAAAATGTCTTCATATCCAAGACTTCTATTGATTCAAAATTCAAACTATTTTTAAATCGATTAATAATTTGTGGTTTTGTGAGGAAAGTCTTGAGCGGAGAACCGTACCAAACCTTCACTGAATTGTATTGTAATCTTTTCGGTAGCAAACTCTCCACTCTGAACTAAACGAGCTTTGGGTACATACAGTCCCTTGCCGTAAACACAGGTATGTTCAGGTACTTCTGTGCCTTCACTTGATCGCTCACCTCTTGGTTCAGATAACAAAGAGAGCATTCATTCAACAAACCAATGGCCGTGTCTTCGGTCACATCAAGAGTTGACTCTCTAATCAACAATTGTCTCAAACCGTGACAATCGCGAAGATCGGCACCAATCAGACAGTAGTTATCATTCCTGAAGACTATCACCGGTTCAGTGCTCTTCACATCCATGTCTTCTAAAGAGATCTCATTTTGATTGCAAACTAATTGATTGTCGATTAAGATCTTTGCCTTATTTATGGCCACAAATGGGAAATCAATTTCAATGAAAGCTATGTCTGGGAAGCGGAGGAATGTGGTGTCAAATCCACAGCCAATTGATATGATTTGATGCAAGCCTTGGATCCCTTGGAAGCGTTTCAACGCGTATTCAATGGCTTTGAATCTCAAGTAATAAAAGCGATTAATAAGTGGCGATCGGTTTCTCTTGAGGTCTTTGTCGGACACAAAGTACCGCAGAAACGGATCCAAAGCATACTTCTTGTTAGTCATCGAGAGTTTGCTTAAAACCGCGGAATCGTTGGTCTTCTGCACGACATTTGCCTTCAAATTGATACTCATTTTGCATTCAATTCAGTGATCACTCACTCAGTGGTCACTCACTCACTGATCACTGAATCAGTGGTCACTCTCTCAACACTTCTCTGTTTACAAACAAACGGCACTTCATTCACACATAACGTGCACTCAATTCATGCAATTCTTGTGTTTGAAGTTTGTATTAATAAACAAATTCTGTATAACTTTATCATGAATTTATTTATTGACTACAATTTTAGATATATATTTCGTATATAAAATATAAATTAAAATAATGGTTGAAAATTCTTATCACTAGATTCTGGATCTGTTTCTATAAATAAAATGCATTTAAATTTTAGATAAATTTCATATTAATATACAGT